ATAACTTCAAAAATGTACATTTCAGTACTGAGCGTAATTCTGTAAAGAAAACACTCAAAGGATATTACCGCTAAGGATGTTGCATCCTGCCTTCGGAACAATCACCCTATTGTTTGAACTTCACCGCGGATTTTTTGTTATTTATATAACAAGTTTCGATAGTAGAATCACTTCACCTCCACGAGAGAATAGAATATTACTAAACGTACCTTTATATGTATTTTCATTGAGAAGAATGCTCAGATGTCCTAAAACTTTTCTTTTCAGTACGAAGGCTGCATAGTTAACAGAACGCACCTCCCTTGTTTTTTTTTCAAACTAAAATGGAAGGTGTTATACCACATAATCACAGTGAGCCTTGATACACTTTACTTCATTAATGTGTGGAATGGGTTTCTGGAAAGTATGCATTCGCTTTGTCTTTGTTTTTCAAACAATTAACTGATGCTGTAGAAATTCCGCCTAGAATATTTATTTAACGCTTAACAGGTTATGCATTAAAATCACTCAACGAAAATCCCTAAATAACCACTGTCGGTAAGCAATACAGCATCGCTGAATAGAATTTGCAGTCAACAATTAGTACTTCCTAAACAATCGACAGTGGTGCATCCTAAGATTATCAGTTTGTGAATCATAAACTGCAACTACACCGACACGAATTTCATACTCATACTATACAAGCCTCATGCTTACTGCCTAGAACGCTCACGAAAACATTTCTAAATGATCCAAACTAAAGCATTCTCAAGAAGCATGCAACTTACTAACTTTTTTCATGGTTGTAATGGTGGAATGGAATTCTTGCCCTAATCGATACTAATACTCGACATTAATGGTATTTTTTTTAATGCATTTCGCATTGTTATGATGTTTTCAGCAATGGTTCACCATAGATTGCAACTTCAGTGGTTGATGGCGAAGCGTTCGAAGGCTTAGTAGCGCTTTGACCGACTGTCTCCGCATCTGTGAGATCTTCCATGATACTTTCAGCAGCCACATCCGAGTTTGTCACTGTGACCATCTGACCGTCTCGCTCATCTCGCGTCTTGATAGGAGTGGAAGCCTTGACAATAGATTTTTAGCTTTATCCTTTTATGATGTTTTCAGTGTACCTAAGAGAATTGAGTGGTGAGCAAAAACACGGCCTCAGGCATGAGCTCTACTATCGCATAGTGAATGAAAAACGCTGTGAAGACGAGTCAGTAACGTGTCCAAAAGTAAGATGGTCTACGTCAATAGTGCTTCGAATAAGAGAAGAGAGTATGAGAAAATACAAAATACAGTAGCGACCTTATTTAGACTTGTATTAAGTCGTTCCATAAAATTTTGGCACTACAGCAATAAACGGGGGCGCCGTGGCCGGGTGGTTGTGATGTTGGTCACGGCGCGTAGGGCCACGCTCCATCCCCCACTTCTCTCCGGCAGCTGAGAAAAACATCCTATGGAACGCTACAGCAAGGCTATCCTTGAAATTGCAAGGAGACTCGCTCAACCGGCATTCTACGCCGTGCAAGAAGAAGACGAAAACGAACTGAATGTTAGAAGTACTGGAATCCGCACTAAAAAAACACTGTGATGAAGAATCAGATAAAGTAAAATGCCAAATAAAGAGCAAGAAACACCAAATTTATTAAACAAAAGTAGTTAAAAAAGCACATGATTTTGGTGTCATTCAAATTTCGTTTGAGACGACTGGACAAATATCTGGCCCTTACAATGTCTCGCGGTGGCCCACCATGCATCGAGTCAGTGCTGCTTATCCTCTCAAACAAGTCTGCTACCAATATACCGACCCCGGAAGGACAGATGGCTTGGTGCGCCATGAGCGTGAGATCGAACCATCAAACTTGAGCGCCACGCAGAGCACTTCTAGCCACTGCGACACGAATGGTTTGTACAGCTATATCACTGCTAGAAAACGCAGTAAAAATAAAGATTCTATATAATGCGGGTGCAAAGCAAAGTGAGCTACTGATTATGATGCGCACATGACTCATATAATCAAGTTTGGTTAGAACTGACATGTACGACGTTCGTCTTGCCTTTTGTCTTGATTTCGGCGTCGTAAAAATTTAGGCCACTTAATGGGAGCTTCATTAAACTTACTAATGCTCAGGTCTAGTAGATTTTGACATATCTTCTTTTAATGAATATAGCAGTTTCAACCTGGTGACTTACCAACAGATCGAATCGACACACCCGACCCCACTCCGAATCGACACAGCGGACTCACAAACCCGACCAACACACCGGATCGACACACCGGACCCTTACACCCTACCAACAGACCGAATCGTCACATCTGCCTGTTTCTAAAACCATATCATCGCTTAAGTCTCACTGATCATGCTTTGCAATTCTGCTGCATTATAATGCTCGACCTCATGTTGCAAAGCCGATCGAAAACTTGGATATTTCTTGTGCTATTGTTTGAAAGGCATGAAAAGTAACTTTCAATCTAATGACGGAATTAAAACATACCGGCCGCCTCTCCAAGTTTGAGGTCGTTGGCTTACGGCTTACTGGCTTGCCTCGTTCGGCTACTTAGGTGGTTGTGTTATCGCACTGGTCGGTTGCTGTAGCTGCTTTGTTCGCCTGGTGCGGCTAAACACTGGTAAGGCCTAATTTTACGACCCGGACATTCGTGAGTAGGCCTTGTTGGGCCGTGGTGTGTGGTATGGGGTGGGGGTCTTACGTGCTGCCCCGAAATACTTGCTCCCGTAGGGCTTGGATGCGTCGTTTGGACGCAGTATCGTCGGCACCAGAATTGTGACAGTTGGCTGATGTAGTTGGCCAATGCAGCAACCTAATGGCGATCCGGATCGACTAAAGTTCGGTCATGCACCAAATGTAATGGCTTTTCAGTGGAGGTTTGGTTTTTTTGGTGATTGTACTACAGTAGTTAGGCTTTCGTGCCTATTGCGAGTGGGTGTGTGTTGTATGTCGGATGGGTCACTCGATTGCATCAATTATTCCTGCGAAGCGGGTTTTTTTTACTATTTATTCGATGACAAACAGTGTTGATCCTGAAACCAACAAATCATATTCATCGCCGTAACGAACAATGTATAACAAACAACAACTACAACATAACTGCAGTTGAAGAAACAACAGTCACGACAAGTAATGCAATGTTAACAGTTAATGATTATGCAACAGATGCGAGCCTAAGTGCAAGAGACCCCGATCCCCAAATCTTTATATAAATGAGAGGAGCTACACATTGTAAGGAGCAGTCACTATACGCTGTGAACAGGATAATTTAGAGCCAAGAGAAGTGGAAGTCGCGTGAATAGCTGTTAAGCAGAACACTGCCCAAATTCTATTTTAAACATCTCTTGGTTGCTAACTGAAAGGCACGAGTCGTTGTGTTGCTCGAACACACAGCCGGCTGGTGTTAGAAACAGAAGCTGGCTATTGATGCGCGAATGCATCGACCACCTAATGTAAGAAAGACGACCCGGCTGGTAGGACTCACTGCGCAACGAATGACCATAGTGGTTATCCGTAAGTAGATACACTGATAGTCAATAATAGCATAAGAAAGAAGAAAAAATAGCAGTTATTACTCTTGGTAAGTGCTATGTACCCGGTGATGTAGAGTGATCTGCAGAAGCTTTTGCGTGAGCTGGGACTCGAGCCAACAACTCACTTTGTCCGGAGGTGCGTACTGAACCGCTGCACCACTGACGCCCGTTTTGACACGACTCTTCTACGTTACAAAGCATCTATCTGTTAGCGACCAACTGCCAATGCTTTGGCGTGGATGGTCACTAACAACACTTAGTCCACTGATGCTGACAGATATTGGGTATTGTTGATCAAACACGATTATTTTTATTTATCCACCTCTAGCGGTGGTATGGTGCTATGATATACCCAGTGATGTAAAGTGATGTGCAAAAACTTTGGCTTCAGTTGGTACTCGAACCCACAGAATACTGTTTATGATTCTAATGACTTGGGGGATGCAAAACTTTGAACCTCGGACGGGAATCGGACCCGCACCACACGTTTCGCCGGGCGCCCCGGGCCGAGGTTTCGTGACTGTCGGAATTTGAGATTTAATCTCGTATATGCCAACTAGTGCTAATTCGAGTACTGTATGAGAATGAATGTTACCGGAAGTGCTGATAAGAATCGGTCGACAGTCGCCCAATGACCTAACCGTCCTATATCCTGGAGCAGAGCATAATGATTGTAGGTCAATTATGAACATGGCTGAAGTTGGGATCACCGGAGCTGGTGGATACTCCAACGGTTCCTAGCCTAAATTTTAAGGTTCAAGATACCGAGGTTAACCGTCTTCTAGCATACCGAGAACATTGTGTGACAGATTAGCACTAGGAGGCGCTGTGGCCGAGTGGTTATGATGCTCGTCGCGGAGCGCGAGGAGCCGAGTTTCATCCCCAACTCTCTCCGACAGTCAACAACAACGCCCTATGAAACGCCAGAGTCAAGCTAACCCTCGAGATAGCAAAAAGATTCGCTCGACCAGTTTCCTCGCATATCGAAAGAAAAATACTGTGAAGACGAGTCAATAAAGTGTACAAAAGTAAAGTAAAGTGATCAATGTCAGTGAGTGGTTCAAATAAGAGAAGAGTGTGTGAAAAATATAAACGTAGAAGCGGCAGACTTGTATTGAGTCATTCGATGAATTTTGGCACTAGAGCAATAAGCACCAAATTTATTAAACAATAATGAGCGTCAGCAGTGCAACGGATAAAGCACGCGCTCCCGGAAAGAGTGAAGTGTGGGTTCCAGTCCCACCTGACGCGGAAGTTTTGCACATCACTCTATATCAATGGGTATATCCGAAACATCATACTACCGCTCGAAGTGGTTGAATAAAAAGAATTTCGTTTGACCTTAATACCCGATATCTGTCAGCGTGACTGGATTAGATGTCGAAATCGACTACCCGGGCCAGGCCGTTGACGGCTGGCGGCTGGCAGATAGATGTGCTGTAACGTAAAAAGGAATGATGTGCAAAATGGGGGTCAGTGGTGCAACGGATAGAGCGCGCATCCCCTGAAAGAGTGAGGTGTGGGTTCTAGTCCCGCCTGACGCGAAGCTTTGCTCATCACTCTACATCAATGGGTATATTTGTAACATCATACCACTGCTAGAAGCGGTTAAATAAAAACAATTTCATAAACCTATAGTGATTGAATATAAATGATTTTGGTATCCTTCAATTGCACCGTTTTTGCGGATATGCTCGTATACAACTTGCCTATGCTCTAAGATTAAGCTGTTGTGAGAACAAACTCGCTTGCTACCCAGGCACGAATGGCGCGTAGGTGAGAATGGTAGTGAAGCAGTGCGAAGATCAGTGGAGCTTCCTGCGGACGACCTCAACGCGACTGATTCTCCAGACTATTCTCTCTAGTTTTGAAGTTCGTGAACCACTTCCTAGCCGTTCTTTCTGCAACCGTATCGACAAGTCGACATTATAAAATTTGTATATAAAATGATATGACAACGAAATGGAATACCAATTTAGCTGGATCACAACAAGACCCAGCTGACCCACCGCATCTAATCAAAAGTAAGTCAAGCGCTGTTTGTGTAACTGGCCCTTCCAAATCGACCCAAGCCTTACCGACGTTCTTTATCAAACCACAAGCACTGTATATCAGGTCATTCAGAGGATCCTATCACAAAACGTTTAGAAAAACTACACGTCTTATTGAACACAGGAGCCGAGTTGTCGCTCATTGATGAAAAAGTTGCACAGTAACATCATCTACCAGTGATATAGGAAGTTTAACTGTGCCTAAGTACATTTGGATCTGATAAATTACAGGAACAATGTGCAAGAAAAGTGTCATTTGATGTTTGAAATGCGGAAGTAATCAGTTCTCGCTGTCCTTACTTACGCAAATTACTAAGACAAAACCACTTTGAGCACCAGAACTATGCTCACAAGACTTGGAGTCTATCCGAAGGAACGATCTAAAATCGATTTCAACGGAAAGAAACCTTTCGTAAAACCACCCATACTTCTTGGATGTGACCAAATTTGGACCTTAATAAAAAAAGCTAGATGTCACATTCAGCTCCCTTCAGGTCTATATCTACTTGCAACAAAACTGGGATATCTGTGCACGGGAAAAAATCGATGAATCGAAGCGCCTACAACAAAAAGAACATAGAAATGTGCTTTTACAGCAAAAAGGAGAAGAATAAAACGCACTAAGAGAAAAGAGGGACGATAACGATATAGATAAGTGAGACCGATACTGGAGACTGCAGAGTCAGGTTAATACCGCCCACCTCTCAACCCGAATGAGATGATGCTGAAGAAGTCCAGTGGAAAAAATTTTGGACACTGGAATCGGTGGAAACAGGAAATTGCGGACTCTGAGAAGCAAGAAGAATTATTGATGGATCAAAAAATCTATAACAATTTCAACAGAGCCACTGGAAAACGAACCCATGGCTATTATGTTCGCCTTCTCTGGAAAAGAGTCGAACACCATTAGCGGACAATGGGGCAAATGTATTCAATAGACAGCCTGGAAGTCCATACAAAACGATGACAATGTACTGAATAAATACAATGAGACATTCGAACAACTGCTTAAAGTGAACATCCTGGAGGAAATCAACGAAGAGAAAATGATAAATAAATCTCGAGTTCATTGTGTTCCTCATCAAGCAGTCCCAACCCCAACAAAAGCACAACTGAACTCAGAATAGTTTATGATGCGTCAGCTCGCTGCAAAGGATGCCCATTATTAGATGACGTGCTACGTCGGGGGGTCAATCATTCTTCCCGAACTCTTTGGAATTCTTCTACGCTTCAGATTCGGAAGAATCGCGATAACTTCAGTTGTCGAAAAGCACTTTTACAAGTCCGACTTCACGAAGACGATCGCGATGTTACACGCTGTTTGTGGTTGAACGACTACAGGTTACCACCATATCCTAGCAACATTAAAGTTCTTCGATTCACTAGAATTACCTTTGGGTTAATCGCTTCACCGTTCCTACTCGCAGGAACAGTTCATTTCCAACTTGACCAATACAAAGAAGATGGAAATCTGCTTGAAGAAGTAAAAGACAATCTATACGTTAACAACCTCATCCTGACTGCCGATGAGTTGGTAAGGTCGACGCATATCTATTCAGGTATAAAACAAATATTCAGTGATCCCGAAATGAATCTCCGCGAATTTGTTTCAAACAACACTGATTTGATGGCAAAAATAGCGACACTCGACAGATCAGAGGATATAACTTTAAAGGTCCATGAGATTCCTTCGAATAGCTATATAGATGGTCTACAGTTATCATGTACCACGAAAGTACATCAACGAATCACTGAAAGAACGGTCGCTAGCACTCTAGCTTCCATTTATGATCCACTGGGATTTCTCTTATCCTTACTCCATGAGACAAAGGTATTCCTGCGTTCTTTATGGAAAGACAAACACGACTGGGACACTGTCCTATCAAAATCCTCTAAAGAACAATGGACTCATATATGTCAGATGATACAAGGATTTACGAAACCTATACCACGCTTCCTCGGCATTAGAGACGAGATCTACACTATAGTGACCTCTGCTGACGCCAGTACTGAAGCTATCGCTGCCTGTATCTACTTACGATCGGAAGACTCAGCCGACCTTTTCATGGTGAAAGGCAAACTTCCCTCCCTGAAGTCTGTGTCAACGATACCAAAAATGGAACTAGATGCAATTACGTCGGCACTCAGATCAACAAATGCGGTAGCAATTCAACCACGAAAGTCGCTGAAAATCCAGAAAATCTGGATCATTACAGCCCGGAAATGCACTCATTTCGATCAAACGTAAACCGCTGAAAAGTGTTGGAATTAGAGTTTTCAACCGTCTTATTTAGATGGGCAGAATTGTCGAACTATACAAAATATTGGTTCTCACATTCTTTTCGGCCACTTCATATTCCACTACAACGCTGCAGACTGTGCAGCTCGCGGCCTCAATCAACGGGAACTGCTCAATCATTTTTAATGGAACGAGCCGCCCTTCCTTCGAGAATCTACAGAAAGATGGAAAGTCATTTGCAGTACTTTCAAATACGAATAAATTCACTCAGCAGACTTTGCCCCCTCAAGACAGTCAGAGTAGTATTACAACCAAAGAGTTTATTCACGAGCAGCAGCAACTTTTCGTGAAGCGTCATTCTCCAGATGGAGAAAATGGAAACGACATCTCTATCTCAATGAAAAAATACTCGTTAACTAACGCCAAAAGAATCGTGGCACGGATTCTACGCTACATTCAAATTTTGGTCACTAAAGCTAATGCTCGTAAGAGGCATCCTATTAAAATGTCGACACATTTACAGCCCAAAGAGATCAGTAACGACGACCTTGATGTCTCCGGAAAGGAAATGACAATAGCCGGAAAAGTATTGATCGAGCAACATCAGTTGGCAACTATAAAATCCTCAATCCTTCAACCCATGATACATTTAAATATATGGGCCGACGAAGAAGGTTTACTTCGATGTTTCGGACGTCTAGGACAAAGTGATCTAAGTAAGGATGCCTAAAATCCCCTGCTAGTCATATAGAATTCGTGGCTGGCACATGCAATTGTCCAAGAATGGCTCATTAAAGGACATCCGGGATTATGCCACATTATGTCCATTGTACGTTAAAAATCACCTGTATCACCTGTCGTCCCGTTGATCGTCGAGTGACTCGAGCGGGTACCAGCAACTCTTCCATTTTTCCCTATCGCGTGCAAGAGTAGCCCAGTGGGTCCTCCTTGCTCTAGGAATTCGCTGAGCATCATATCTTTCTTCCATCGCTTTCGTGAAGAAATCGGACCAACGGGTCAGTGGTCTTCCTTTAGAGCGCTTGACGTCCCGAGGAATCCAGTCGGTAACGGCTCTCGTCCATCGGTTGTCGTTGAAGCGCATCACGTGTCCGGCCCACCTTATTTTCGATATCCTGGCATGTAGAACGGCGTCTCTGATTTTCGATCGTTGACGTAGGTCGGAAGTTCGGATCCTTTGTCTCATTTGCGAAATACGAGATACTCCTAGCATCGACCTTTCGACTGCGCGTTCGATAACGGCAAGTGATCTTTCATCCTGCTTACGTAGCGACCAGGTTTCTGCTGCATACGTTAGGGCAGGGATAATTGTCGAGTCGAAAAGGTGGGCACGGAGTCGGATGTTCTTTGTCCTCTTCACTACATCTTCGATGCTCTTAAACGTTCCCCAAGCCGCTCGTTTCCTCCTGCTCAACTCTGGGGCTAGGTCGTTCATCATGTTGATTTCACGACCTAGATAGATGTAACTGGAGCATTCGGAATTTGTCGTTCCGTTTAGCGTGAATGGGGCATTAGAAACCCATCCGTTCCTCATGAACATTGTTTTCGTTAGATTCAGTTGAAGACCGATCTTTCCACAGGCGTTGTCGAAATCAGTCAACGAAATCAAATTTAGAATGGGACGAAATGGGAGTGAAAATTGACGGTCGACAATTAAACCATCTTCGCTTTGCTGACGATATCGTTCTCATAACACCAAACATCAGCCAAGCGGAACGAATGTTGACTGATTTCGACGTTAAAAATATTGGATTCCTAAATTACGAGCACAAGTGCACGAAGATTCCGCTAGAGATGCAAGTCATCTTACGAACGAAAAGACAAGTCATAGAGGCTCTGAATTCATCCTGCATGCTCATAGAAAAATTCCGGAAAATCTGGAGAACTCAGTAATTAATGTCACTACGTGACAAGCAACAAAGCGGATTGAGAAACAAAGGAAGTTCTAAATATGCTCCCAAGTAGGACGATATCGTACTTGTCAACAATCCAGTGCAACCACGCACCTATGGGAAGTGGGAAAATAAAGGAATTGGTCACGAATGCACAAGGATTTTTCGTGAAGCAGTTATTTTACTGCCGTCACCCCGTCAAATTCGTAGATCTTTGAATCTTCTCACTCCACTGGAGATAGAAGATCATCAACACAGGATAAAAGAACTGAACAATCCGAATCACATAGCAACAGTCAGCCTACGAGAAATCCATTGATACAGATACACGAAAAGGCGACTAC